ATCCCCAACCCTGGTTGGACCTTCATTAGAGCCTCAATTACCATAAAAGACAACAAATCCTAATTAGGGGCAGAAAGCCCTTAAATGGGCTAGGATGGGGCTGCCACCCCAAAGATCCCATGTGACCATTAGGTCCCCTAGGTTTCCCTAACCCCATCTAATACATATTCAAATCTAAGTTCAAGTCAAGCCCTAGGGCCCCTTCCCTAACCCCTTCAAGCCCTTTTAAGTTCAAGTTACAAAAATCATGGGCCGATTTAGGTGCTGAAATAATGGGCCCAGTCTCAAATACAAGATTTCTCCTTTATTTCCCTCAACTTTGCATTTTTAAAAAATGTTTTCGGTATTTTTATTTTGTTGTTTTGTACTAGCGATGGCTTTGTTTCGTGAACCCTTAGCTAGCGATGCGGTGGATCTCATCTACAAAGTCCACTTCCTCTGGATTGCAATTTAATAGAGCTAGTTTTCTCTATTGCATTTTTCATTTTTATCTTGTTTAAAGCTTAAATCAGTGTGTTTCCGTAGGTGATTTTTCAAGATTTAATTTTCATGAAATTTTAATATCCTAGCAACTGAGCAAACCAAACTATAGATTTTAGTAATATCCAAGATATTAAAATTCCATGCTCCAAAATCTATGTGTCCAAACACGCCCTCAGATCTTGAAGGTTGCGACTTTCTTAGCTAAAAACATGATATGTTCTTGGAGGAGAAAAATATACACGTCCTCCCTCTCGCAAAATCTTAACTAAGAGTAAATAAAATACTAAAATGTAAATAAAGATGAATGAACTTATAGGACCTTCCTCCACCCATGTGTGTAGGACCCCAAAGGATCACCGTTAACTTTGGCAAGGATCTATAGAAAAATCTAATCCTACACCCATGTGATAACTTTTCTAGATATCCGTATTAACTTTAATGGTGACCCTTTAAGGTTACACACATCGGTTGGAAACCGCCCTATAAGATCAATACTCATAAATAAAATACATCATTAACAAGATAAAATGGTCGATCAAGATTTTTCCATTTTAAAAGGGGTGAAAATTGAATTCTAAAGAATCACACAGTTTTTTAGAATATGACAATTCATGATATTTGTACAAGAATCGGCTAGTTCTCAATAGCAAACGAGATGATTCTATCAGATTCGGGTCAATACCAAGTTTTGTATTGGAATCGGACCAATCACCTACTAATACCTATTGAATTCGACGATTCTTCGAAAAATTTTCAAATGTTGGTTATGTAAAGCAACTCTTGAGATGCACCATTAAAGGGGCTAAGTCACGGTGGTAGCACCTTATACTTAGTTACCAAATTGTTGTTTTCAATCCCACTGACACCATTTATTGATACATTAAAAAAATAAAAAAATTAACTCCCTAATCTATTTGAAATAATGGATAAGGCCTGTTTTTTCCATTAAATTATTTAAAAAAAAAAAAAGAAAAAAAAAACAACTTGTGAAATGCACCGCGTTCTATAAAAGCTTGGGAATCATGAAAGCCAAGTTGAACCTTATTTAGAGAGAGAGAAAGAGGGGGGTGGTTGGCCTTTGGGGCTGGGAATGGGAAGCCAAGGTATGGGGACGGGAAACGATTCTAGAGAGAGAATGGGCTCATTGAGAGAGAGAGAGAGAGGGGGTTTGGTCTTTTGGGCTGGGTATAGGAAGGGAAGGGAAACGATTGTAGAGAGAGGATAAGATATTAGGGGGAAGAAAAGGTAAGGGGAGCTTTGGAGAAAAAGATCCATTGATTGATTTGTGCGGTAGGGAGGAGAGAGAGGGTGACAGAATTTCTATTGCTTTTGATTTTCTTTTGTAGGTTGGGTTGAAGAGAGAAGGAAATTTTGGTTGTAGGTTGGAAAAATTAGTCCCACATTCAATTAGAGAAAGAGGACAAAAGATGAGGTTTGAGATAAAAACAAGGCAAGAACATCAATCGACGACGTACTCACCTGGACGGGGCCAATTGGTGAGCTCGATGGCCTAAGGTGGCTTTTACTTAAAAGGATATGGGTCCCCTTGGCATCTCTCCCCTAAGTGAAACATCATCATCACATGTGCTTTTGGGGCAATATCATATTCAAATATAAGGTTGCAACCTTTAAATGTTTAAAATGTAGAATTCTAGGTGCCCGTAAAAAATTCATAGGAAAAGGTTGTTTTAATATTGAAAACACCTCAGGATATGAATATGAAAAAGATGTATGAATATAAAAAAATAATAAAATTTAGAGTCCCAATACTTCTAATTGATTATTTCGACATCTAATTGATCATTTCGACATTAAGATGTATGAATATAAAAAAATGATAAAATTTAAAGTCCTAGAGATTGTGAATCTTTCAATCCATTATCTAGACCGTCTATTTTTAAAATTTTCATAGGTTTATAGATCTACTTGATTTTAACCATTTTTAGAATTGAAAATTTTATAATTAAATATAAAAATAGATTTTGAGATAATCCAAATAATCTTTTTTATCAAAATTATATATTACGATAAAATTTGGATGTGTGCCTTAATTGGATTGTTTAAGGTTACAACTTTTTAGAAAGCACACCTTTTAGTTTTAGCCAATCTTATTTGTAGAAAAAAGTTTCAACTTTAAAATGTAGAATTATAGATGCACCTCAAAAATCTATTGGAAATGTTGTTTTAATGTTGGTAAACCTTTTAATTGATCATCTCGATATCAAGATGTATGAATTTTAAAAAAAAAAAAGGTTTTGAGTCCCAGAAAGAGTGCATATTGCAACACATTATTTAGACTGTCTATTTTTAAGATTTTCATGTCTATAGATCTACTTGAATTTGACCATTTTTGGAATTTAAAATTTTCTAATTAGATATGAAAATTGATTTTAAGATAATTCTAATAATTTTTTACAACAAAATCACATATTTAATAAAATTTGGAGGTGCACCGTAATTGGATTGTTTAAGGTTGCAACCTCATAGAAACTGCATCTTTATTTGTATGTATAGTTTTTTATTAGGGAAGATTATAGACACCCCTCAAATTGGAATTTCTAGACAACCTCCCTCTGACGAATATTTTTATGGCAACTTTTATCCCAAACCAAACTTTTGTAGCAAATACCTCCAATTCAAAAAGTCAAAGTTTTGTAAACCACGCATCGGGCTTTTTAGAAAACCTCCCCCAACCAATATTTTTATCGTAACTTTTACCCCAAAAAAAACTTTTTTAGCAAATACCCCCAAGTAAAAATATCTTAGTTTTTTGAACCAAAATGCCCTCCCCTTGATCGTTGAATGCCGTTAGTCCAGTCCTTGTAAATGCGGTCCAACATATTGTTGTTGTGGTCTGGCAGTTGTAATGCCTCGGTCCAGCAGTTGTAAATGCAGTTTAGCATGTTGTTGTTGTGATCTGGCATTATGATGCCTCAGTCCGGCATAAGTTGCATGCGGTATGGTAGTTAATGCGGTATGGGTTACAGTGCCGCAGTAATATGTGCCATACTGTCTTTGGTGATTGAGAGTCTTCGGGAATGCACCGCCTTCATGTATGGGCAATGGTATTTTCGTCCTCCAAACTATGCATTTTTTATTTGGTGGTCTTTGCTATACAAGTTTGTCTTTGGGTAAAAGTTGCGCTAAAAAAATTGGTTAGGGAAAGGTTATAAAGAAAGTTGAGTCAAAGGGCGTTTTTGTAATTTTTCCTTTTTATTATTTTGTATTTATTTTATATAATATTAAAAATTTCCTACTCATATAGAGTATACCTTCAAAATTTCCTACTCATGTAGGAGTATACCATCACTTGAGTACACACTGACTTCCTTATGTAAAACTCACGTCAAGCTACTCCCTTGGGGAATATCTTTTAGATCCCTAATTTTTGGTCAAACGAATAATAATAATAAAACTTGCATTAGGAATAGCTTTTTAGATTCTTAATATTAAGCTACTGCCTTGGGGAATATCTTTTACATCCCTAATTCTTGGTAATAATAATAATAACAAAACTTGCACTAGGAATATTTTTTAGATCCTAATTTGTTTAGGGATGTGATCGGTAGAACCGGGTTCGTCAAAGGCAAAAAATAAAATAAAAAACTCACTCTCTATATGCCTAAAAAAATAATAATGAAAATTGGCATCCCAACATTGCATTGGAACCATCTAATTTTTTGAGGGAATTATTTAGATGTTCAAGAACTCAATATCCTTTTTTTTTTCTGAAGATAATCATCTAGTTATAAATAAATGGATCCTGAAATTTCAAATAAAAAACAATCTGGCAAGTAAGCGTGTGTTTGAAGAAACAAAGCTATTTTTGAGTTTTTTCAAGAAACTGAAACAATTTCATTCTTGTGTTAAATCGATTTTAAGTAAAACGCTTTTATAAATTGACCCATACACCTATTTAAATGAGTCCTCTCTCCAAAATCTATTTTAGAAATGGATTTTAGATTCAAAGTTTTAGGGAATGAAAATCTCAACTACGATGAGTAGAAACCTGGAAGATTTTTTTAACAAAATAAAAATCTTTTGACATAGTTTTAACATCATCAATTTGAAATTTTTTTGGGGCTACTATTTTTTATCATCCATCAGCAAGATGGATGTTACATGACTATTATAGAGGTACGTCCCTTGACACACAAACTGCTTTTCGTCTAAGCAATAAAGCATTGGATCATTGTTCTAAAGTAATTTTTAAGTTATTTCAAGAAGCAAAATATTTTGCCCCTAGATTAAACAAAACCTTCCGATTATTGGAAGGTTAGAAGAACTCAATCCACTTTTTTCCTTCTGAAATTTATCACATGGTGATTCTTTCTGAAATTTGTCATGGTGATTCTTAGGTGGATCCTAAAATTTTAGATCTAAAAATTGCTCTTGAGTAGCGTTTTTGCCTGAGAAAAAAATGTAAATTATGCTCATGCGCAAAGCAAATAAACACACTCATACAACAAATTTCTGAACAAGGGAAAATTACAAAATGGAAAATGTCTATAACGGGCTTCCATGGGAACACACTGAAAACTAACTCCCTATGGTACTACTTACAGAATTGACTAGCGAAAGAGACTATAGAATTCACTTGTACTCACGCGCACACACACACACGTACAGAGAGTGAGAGACTGGAATTCACTTGCACAATGAAGCTAAAATGACGCGAGGAGGCTTTCCGGGCCTCCGCGCATGCTGAACAGCAAGGTTGTCAAGAAGCAAGATATCACCCTTTTGCCATCTTATATTCACATTGATTTCATCCCTAATCTTCTTGTAAGTATTGAAGGCTTCATCAGGAAATGGAGTCCCATCTCCAAAGCATACACTCATGTCATCAAGCTTGCCAGTGTAGCCTACAATGGTGAAGAACCAGGCCCTGAGCCCCCCTTGAAAAGTTCTTATTGGGTTCAAGGGTCCAAATACAAGTTCAGCCCCCCCATCCTCTAGAAATTCAACTGAGTTGCAAGCTAGCTTCAGCAGAGCCCTATGTTGGACAATGAAGAGTCGATGAGGAAAGGTTTGCTAGGCCTCCAATTAAGATCACATTAAATTATTACTCAAAAAAACAAAATATACTTTTGTCATGGTAGCAAAAGCACAATTGAAATTTGGGTGTAGTTGTTGCAACTTTAAACAATCCAATTAAGGCGCACCGCCAAATTATATAATAATATATAATTTTGGTGTAAAACATTCTTAGGATTATCTCAAAATATATTTTCATATCTAATTATAAAATTTTAAATACCAAAAATAGTTAAAATCAAGTAGATCTATAAACATATGAAAATCCTTAAAACATATTGTCTAGATAAGTGATGCAAGATGGACTATTTATGGGACTTGAACTCTTTTTGTTTTTCCATATTTATACATCTCGACATCGAGATGATCAATTAGAGGATTTTTTCAACATTAAAGCAACATTTTTTGATGGATTTTTGAGGTGCATCTTTAATTTTACCTTTTAAGGTTGCAACCTTGTATAAACTTTTTCCTTAAATTTTTCTTGAAATAATAAAGATAATTATTATACTAAGGTTCAAGTGCATTTATAATGAAAATACTATTGCAGTTTAAGAAGGTAATTTGATGGCCTATAGTTGCACATCTATTCTCACTTGAGAATGCATTTTCAATATAGGAAATCTTGCCAACCAATCATCTCTACTTTGAGAATTATGGATCTAAAAAAAAAATCCTGAATTTCTAGCCCTAAACATACTTTATATCTTGTAACACATTTATCAAACTTTTAGTTCACGAGTTCATAGATCCTCCAAATTTGCAATATTTTTTGAGCTTCAAATACTATAGTTATGGGTAGATATAAATTTTGAAAACCATTACAAGGGTTTCTTGTAGAGTTGAGTTGAGGCTTTATCAAGTATCTTCAAAAGCATGAATGGGGCAGACTAGTTGATCCTGGCCCGATCCGATTAGTGGGACCAATTCTAACTAAATCGGCCAATTAGTGCCCCGACTTTTGTTGAAAAATAAAATTTGGGTAAAAAATCCCAAAAAAAATTGTAAACAATGTTCAAAATTTACATGTATTGTTTTTTATATTGTGATATAAAATAAGCAAAACAAAAAAATGTTACATGCATAATTGGGTTTCGGAAAAAATTTTAGGCACCTGAAACAATACTTTTTCAGTGAACTAGTAATTAAAGGAGATTACATAATATTACAAAAGTTTGATACCTACCGCTGAACTACCCAAAAAAAAAAAACCTTGGCCTATTTATTTAGCCAAAAAAAGGTAGGACAACTTTAAAGCAATGGTTGTACTTTGGTTGCATACTAGTAGAAATTGAATCTCGGAAGAAGATACCAACAATTGAATTGATAAAATAAATCAAATAAAATGATTGACACAAGCTATTTTGTATGCAAGACCGTTTGTCTTTGATATAAGAATATTATCATCATCCCTAGCCATTAGACGGGAAATTGGTAGGCTAAGGGCACGCCACAATGTTAAAGAAGCTTTTTCTTTGACTTTGAGGTCAGTTAAAGATACACTTCCCAGCTAGTCAATTTTTCATCTAATGGCCATACTGTACAAAAAGTATACGCTTTACGTTTATAGAAGGGTGAGGCCCTAAACAATCAAATTAAAGCACAACTAAAAATTCACTTGAAAAGGTTTTTTGGATGCTGAAAAATTCTCAAATCGATCATCTTAACCTCAAGATATAAACATGAGAAAAACTGAATTTCTTGACTTAGAAATAGTACATCATGTAATGCATTTTCTAAACCATTAATTTTCAAGATTTTCATGTATTCATAGATCTCCTCTTTCTACATTATTTTTCAAGCTTTATATTTTATAATTAGATATAACAATAAATTTTCAGGCCATCACAAAGATTTCTAGTATTGAAACAATGTCTTTTGATACTATTTGAGGGTGGGTCTAAATTTGACTGTTTAGCGCCTCAACCGTACATAACCCACACCCCCTAAAACCCATAAAGGAAAACGATTATCTAAAGGCAAGGCCCTTAACAATTAAATTAAGGCGCACCTCCAAAATCCAATAGAAAAGGTTATTTCGATGACCAAAAATCTTCAAATCGGACATGAGAAAAAATGGATACCAAGTCTTGAAAATAGTCCATATTGTAATTTGTTTTTAGACTGTGAATTTTCGAGATTTTTCCAAGTGGTCATCGATTTTTAAATGTATTAACAATGCACAATTTGAGCTATCTTTACAATAAATTGTTGATTAGTGCACAAATCACTCGATTAATGCTCATTAGTAGAGATTAATATAGTAAATTGGCCAATTAGTAGACTACATGGACGTAGTTTCTATCAGTCCCCGTACTCATAGGCATAAATGTACCCACTCTTAATAATCTATTTTTGAAATGGATTTTGGCCATAATTTTTTAGTATATAATCTCTAACATGGAGATTATTAATATGTTAAAATAAATAATTTTTGAAAATAAAAAGTAATAATTTTTGAAAGAAATATTTGGACCAATGATTTTAAATTTTTTGGAGGGACCGCCATTTACTTCCATCTTTGAGATGGATGGCTTATGCCTTACGAAACACAAATACAAGAATGCGTCCCCCGATGCATATAAACCTTCACCTTTTAACATTGTTGATTGCATTTTGAAGAGTTATTAAATACAAATAAATCCGGGCTTTAATTACTTTTAGAAGTTACAGGGTTGTTGATTGTATTTTGAAGAGTTATTAAATACAAATAAATCCGGGCTTTAATTTTTTTTAGAAGTTACAGGGTTTTGGGATGCCAAAATGTGATGTCTTATTTCCATTCACATCACGAAAAAAAGACCCCTCGATGCTCAATCAACTACCAAAATAAACCAAAAAAAGTAAAATCTTACTGCTTTCCTGCTTCGTTCTTGTCATCAGTTTGTAGTACTTGTTGCCACGTTCTCCTAAACTGTTTCTTGGAAGCGATTTTTGGGGTCCATACTCGGATAATAGCTCCCACATTTCCCAATTTATTGACAAATTCAGGCAAGGCCTCCTCCATCTTCTCAACAACAATGTGGCTAAGTAGTATGGAGGTCTCACCGCCTTCTGGTGGGGCCTCCATACAAAAGAAGAAGATCTTGGAAGGGAATTTTTTGCTCTACGATAACAACAAAGGAGACAATGAGAAATAGGGCTCATTTGAGCAACAAAGGCATTTATGCCCTTCCAAAACAGAGAGACAAGGAGGGAGGTTGTTATAGGAAAAAGCGTGTGCTTGTTTTTTTTCCTGATATTACCAAAGACACATACTTGTGTGTGACAATTTAGAAATTTAGACATTTTTAAAACTATTTTTCTTCCATTTTTTCTATAAAATGATACAATGTTGCCTAAATCCCCTCCTCTCCCCGTTTTACTTTTTAAATGATGCACAGACGGATCGGGCCTAAAAGGCCAATTTGGAAACTGGTATTTCTGACTCCCCCATCCATTTCAGACATTAAAACGACTATGCTATGACTTTGTAATTTCCCTACCTTTTTATTGTATTATATGCCATTTTTTCAAGTCATAGATTCACGGTTTCAAGTGGCTATACCTTCTCCCATCGCAAGAAGTTGGGAAAAATTTGAGTGGATGCCATTTCACTTTGGGCTTAAAACCAAGTTCTTTCAATTTTTGTATGAAACAAAACCACACAGATTTAATCATAAATGCCAACAAACTCCTAGCTTTCTCGAGTTGTGACAACAGCTAGCAACAGAATATATATCAGTAGTTAGTATATAATTCTCCCTTAGGACAATAGTATACATTTATTCCCTCGGGCAAAACTTTAATTTGGGAGTTTGCAATTGCTTATATACGTTTAGTTTGTCCCACATCATTTTTATGGCCCAACGTTGCTGCAAAAGCGTGCACTTTATTTAAACAATAGTTACAATTTGTTCCAAATTATATATAGTGTTTGTATTGGGTAGGGATATGTGGGTTCTATAAATAAATCTTTCTCTCTCATATAAGGACAAATGAAATGGTCTATAGTTATTTTTAAGATTAATTATATTTATTTATTTTTAATATTTAATATTTTTAAGATTAATTATATTTATTTATTTTAAATATTTAATCTTTTTCAGATTCATTATTTTTATTTTTATAATATACAAATATAAAGTACATATAATTAATCTTTAATTGTATATAATTGTAAAAATAAAATTTCATATAATAATTTACAAAAATTAACATAATTATATGAAATTATTTTATTAGCTCATAGGATATTAAAAGAAACAAAAAATAATATTAATATTGGTTTATAGATGATTAAAAAAATACTAGTTTATGAGATATTTTAAGAGCGAAAAATAACACTAGCTCAGACCGCTTTAGAATTTATTTCAAGTTGCTTTATCAATTATCTCACATTAATATAAATTTCTTTATTTATTTTTCTAATTTTATTAAAATATGATTGTAAATTTATATTACAAAATTTTATTTTTATATCAACACCAATTATTATACATTATAATTATTTATTTGTGAGGGTCATACCCTTGTTTTTAATCACATTTATTATAATATTGTAACTAATAATTATACTAATTACAACGATAATAAAATCTTGTATTTTTTATATTAATTTATTTACATTCGAATTATGCAATATATTATTTTTTTTTGTAGTTGTAAATTAGATTTTTAAATCAGATGATAATATAAGACAAATTTCAAATTTATTATTATTTGTATAGTAAAATGATGATAAAATAATAAAATACAAACCAATAATTCTAATTTCAATATATAATATTGTATTTAGTTAAGTTTTAATAAATGTTTGATAATATTCTTCATACAGGAAACGAACATCTCAATATTCCCATATTGATGCAAAAAAAAAAGTTATTAATGTAGTACCCTCATTTCTTATTGGATTCTTAAAAAACAACATTTATAATGATTTTTAATAATCTTTTTAAATTTTTTTAAGGGTGAATCCGACCGATTCGAGATTTTGGTGGCCATTTTTAATCGTTTTAATCCATTCTTATTGTAACCCATGTATGGTTATATACTTCATCCATGATAATTCTATAATTTTTCTTTTGTGTGATGTAAATTTAATGATTAACATAAGTTCATACAGTGAAAGAACATTTCAATATTCACATATTGATGGAAAAAAATGAAAGTTAATAATGTAGTACCCTTATTTTTTATTAGATTCCTAAAAAACAATATTCATAATGAATTTTAATAATTTTTTTAGATTTTTTTAAGGTTTAATTTTATCGATTCAACCGATTTTCGATTCGGATTACCGATTCACCGATTCGAATGGATTTTTGGGATGCTCGATCCGTTTTTTAAACCAATATATATATATATATATATATATGAGAGATATAAGATAGTAGAACCAATTGAGATTCATCCGAGTTCACTCGGATTCATGACTCTTGCAATTTTGGAAGGGATTGACCATAATGTTGGCCGATTCTTCGGAGCCTCGAGTCCTTCCCCAAAAAAACTTGGGTGGGTCTCCTAAAACTAGGGCATGTATTGTAATTTTCCCAACAATTGGTGGGCCTTAGGGAGTGGCGAGTCGGAGCCGAGTTTATATTTAAAGAGAGAGAGAGAGAGAGAGAGAGAGTACCACCAAGGAAATTTCGAGACACAAGGAAACAATGTCATGCATGAAATCGCATAAAGAGAGGAGAGAAGGGGAAGGGGGGGGGGAGGAGCTCACATATGACATCTCATGATGGAAATCAATGAGCTTCTCAGGTGGAGACTCATTGGCAGTGTAGACACGATCAGCAACCTTGGAGCGCACGGCGCCACCAGCCTCGTAAACCATCTCCTCCCACCCAAACGCCTCCACCACGCTCCCAAAGTCCTCTGCACGATGCACATCAAACCCTCGAAAGAGAATAGCACCGTGCCGGCTCAACTGTTCATCGAGCCACCCACGATTTGCCCTTACGGCCTCTGCCAAACGCGTTTCTCCCCCTTCATGCGAGGGAGTAGAAAGCCCATCTTCAAATCCATGAGAGGGTAGGAGAGTCCTAGGAAACACTATCTCACCAAACCACTTCTCTTCTTTCACTTTTCCTTCTACAAACTCCATTTTTGGTCACTAATGTGCTTTAGCTAACCTAACCTGATCACAGGCCCATGCATTCGTTCATATATATAGCCAAGCTGTTTAGCCAATCATATTAGAGGACATGCTTTTCCATATATGTATTGACAAAAGTGACGCACAAACTAGTTAAAGATTTGGAAACATTTGCCCATTAATGTACATCCGGCACATATTTATCATCAAAACGTGAATGCATACAACTATGATGACAACTGTCATCACAATGCATGGCAACAAGAAATAGCGGCGCCTATATGCAACCCAAGGTAATAACCATCACTTATGTCGCCCAAATCGGGCTCCCCAAAAATCTCGGTCCGGATCGATGAGTCAGTAGTTCGGATCATTGTTTTACTGTGTGAAAAACGTGAATGCCTATAACTATGATGACAACTGTCATCACAATGCATGACAACAAGAAATAGCGGCCCCTATATGTAACCCTTTCTTGGGAAGGTAATAACCATCACTTATGTCGTCCACATAGGGCTCCCCAAAAATCTCGGTCCGGATCGATGAGTCAGTAGTTCGGATCATTGTTTTACTGTGTGAAAAACGTGAATGCATACAACTATGACGACAACTGTCATCACAATGCATGACAACAAGAAATAGCGGCACCTATATGTAACCTTTTCTTGGGAAGTTAATAACCATCACTTATGTCGCCCAAATCGGGTTCCCCAAAAATCTCGGTCCGGATCGATGAGTCAGGAGTTCGGATCATTGTTTTACTGTGTGAAAAATTAGTGAACCGACAAAAAAATACATGAAACAATAATGAACTGGACATAAACTGAGCCAGATCAGTGGACTGACGGTATGGATCACCATTTTACTGTGCGGCACTATCGGTTGCCTTCTAGAATATATACGCAAAACCAAAATGGGGTGATCGATTCTCAAGTCGGACCTGTTGATTTTGTAGCGAACCAGTGTTGTCTACATCATTGGTGCATATACCATGCTCCCAAGCGAGCATGGTGTACATTTACTCCTTCATGAGAGAAAAAAAAGCTACCAGCGGATTTTTCTCATCTGGAGTTTATCACATGGTGATTTCTTAGGTGGATCCCAAAATTCCAAACCTAATGAGTACTCCTAAATGGTTCTTTCGGAAACCTAAAGAGTACTCCTAACTATTTCTTTCGTCTAAGATAGTAAATATACAATATTGCTCTTATGGAGTGTTCGAAAATCTTTGATCCGATCTGGATTTGTTTGATCTGAATCGGGTATTGGTCTAACCATTTCCGATCCATTAACATTGATGATATCATGAATTAGTAAATGACGTCATGGATAGGCAATCGCCTATTAAGATATCAGCAAATCCTGTTATGATGTCATACTTTTTTTTGAAATTTTTTTCCATTTTTTAGACTTTTTTTTCCTAATTTTTTTATTCTTTTCCAATTAAAAAATAGGTGCTTGTGGCTAGTCCATTTTTTTTACCGGTGAACTTCACGAATTCAATCACAATGTCACGTCTTTACACTATTTTATTTTTAATGTTTTTTTTATAAACTATTTTGACACCAAATTTTGGATGTCCATTCCTCTATTAAACTCGCACAAGCGAAAAATATTAAAAAAATATTTTCAATAAAATAAAATAACCAAAATACCCCTGAAAGTTTTAAAGGGTGTTTTGGTCATTATATTTTATCGAAAAATTATTTTTAATATTTTTTATAGGTGCACCCCAATGAGAAGATGGCACGTACCAAATTTTATTTTCATACAATTTGTATAAAAAAACTAAAAATAAAATATCTAAGACATCGGATATAAGATCAAACGGTTAGTGACTTTCTTGATCAAAATTGGATGACTAGATGGTAGGGGAAGCATAGATCATCTATGCTCTAGGGGAAGTATAGATACCTTTCCCTAAATTCAATGGTAAAAAAATAGTGCTTTGTCTTTCTCCCATATACACAATGACGTAATAATTAAACGGTCTATAAATAGCGCTCTTTCTTTCTCTCTTATTATATAAGGACATCTATAAAATGAAATGATCTATAAAATAAATTTTCTTTTTCTTTTTTTAGATTATATATATATATATATAGTTGCAACAACAAAATTATATATAATATATAAAATTAATAAAATTATAATGAAATTAATGAAATTATATATAAAATTACAATGTACAAAAATTAATGAAATTAACATAGATACGTAAACCAACAATTTCAATTTCAATATGTAATATTATAGTTAGGTTCTGATAATTTTGGATGAGTAAAGCAAATTAATAAATGTTTGATAATTTGATGTGATATGATTTTTATTTATATAAGAAATTATTTTTTAATCTTATAATATGGAAGTGTTTTCTAATATGTTTAAATTATTTGATGATATATTATGATACTATATTAGAATTAATAATTATATGAACATCCAGACATGAAACAAGATTTCATTATTCATCTATTTTTACAAAGTAATGAAAGTACATAATAAACCACTTTTAATTTCTTTTAGAAACTAAATAACATTATTTTTAGATATTTATAATGATTTTTTTAAAAAATATTTTGGACAAAATTTACCAATTTTGCTAATTCTCTGATCCAACCCGCCGATCTGACAAGGGTATGAGTGTGAACAATTCAACTCACCGATCTGCTTTTTTGAACGTTGCTCCGATGCATAATGTTATAAGGATCGGACCGGGTAGGATTAGGTCCTAGGTGAGTCCACATGGACTTGGATTTGACCCAATTTACTATTCAATTCCAAGATTTGGACTTGAACCGACCCTCTAGGTCCAAATCTTGGACCCATACTCGGATTTGGACTAGGCCAGGTAGTCGAGTCTTGGGTTGGGTCTGAGTAATTTCTAGCTTTAAAACGAGGCTACTAAACTGATAAGGAGTTTGATCTAGTCAAAACTAGTCCAACCACTAATCGAACTGGTTGGATTGAATTATAAAAAAGTAGAAACAAAATTCGGTATAATAATTTAAAAGATGTGGTTTGTATAAGGTTGCAACCTTAAACAATAAGAAATGCACCTTAAAAATATTTTAGAGGTGCAACTTAATTCTCCAGTGTCAACTTTATCTAAAATTTTTCCTAATCTAAAAAGGTAAAATGTATCAAAAAATTTGCTAAACCTTACTTACCTAGTTGAACCCATAAAAACTTGCTGATCCGATTAGTCGAAACCGATCAAATATTGATCCTGACCAATTTTCGACTAAAGCCAGTTTTTACCTTGGACTAGAATGATTAAGGCATCAATTGGCAGTCCGACCAATCGAATTACCGGTTTGGTCAAAACTTGACAACCGAGAAAATAAACACACTTATACAACAAATTTCATAATGAAAAAGACAGATTAAAAAATAAAAACTGTGGTTTGTATAAAGTTGCAATCTTAAACAATCATTAAGACGTACCTCCAAATTTTGTCATAAATATAATTTTGGTGAAAAAAAAAATAGGATAGCTTGATAATTTACTTTCATCTCTAATTATAAAATCTTAAATTTTAAAAATAGATCACATCAGGTGGATCTATAAACACTTAGAAAATTTAAAAAATGGACGGTCTAAACAATATGTCACGAGATACAATATTTTTAGAACTCAAAATCTTTTTTTCTTTTCATATTCATACATCTCGACGTCGAGATAATCAATAAGAGGGTTTCCCAGCATCAAACAACCTTTTATGATGCCTTTTTGAGGTACACCTTAATTCTAAATTTTGATATTGCAATCTTAGATAACTTTTTCTAAAAATAAAATGCGCATATAATGTATAATGCGCTTCCATGGAAAGCACTCTATAAACTAAGTAAATTGGGTACTAAGGAGTATTTTCTCATTCTGAAATGTTAGGATTCACTGTAGGATCACCAGATGAGTATTTACAAAAAAAACAAAAACAATTGGATTTTAAGAGTTTCTATCTACTTTAATCTTGAAACATTATTTTCTCCAGGCGCATACATTTGCCTACTCTTTCCTTGTTTGCTTGGTTGAGGTAGTTCCATCCCCAGAATTTGGTTACCCTAAAATAACTCCTAGAACAGGGTTCACTTGAGGGGTAAAAATGTAAAATCTTATGATAACAAAAATGGCATTGTTTTTTTTTTTAGCAATAATGCTATTGGAATAAAACATTCATATGGCCAAACCATCATTGAAAGAGTTTGAAGAAAAAAATGCGATCGCGCGCAGGGATCGTCCATTTAGACGGTTTGTATGTGGCTAGCATGTATATTGTAAAAATACGGGCTTGGCTATAAATATATTTTTTAAATATAATTTGATCCTTTAGATAAGAAAAAAATTTATATAAGTTGCAACCTTACAATGTAAAATTACGAATGCACCTAAAAATCCATCGGAAAAGATTATTTTAATGTTGAAAAACCACATCTCGACATCATGATTATGAAAAATAAAAAGATTTTAAGTCTTAGAAATAATGCATCTTACAACATATTATCTACACCGTCCATTTTCAAGATTTTTATATCTTTATAAATCCACTTGATTTTAACTATTTTTTGAAATTTAAAATTTTGTAATTAGATATAAAGATAAATTTTGAGATAATCCTAAGAACATTTTACATCAAAATTATATATTATGATAAATTTTGAAGGTACACCTTAGTTAGATTGTTTAAGGTTGCAACCTTATGAAAACCACACCCCTTAGATAATATATAAATTTTAAAAAAATTTGAAAAATTAAAAATAATAATTATATTAAAAAAACATTTGGACCGACAATTACACTTGTTTTTAGATGGATCACCTATTTGCATCCATAGATGCTTTATACCTCTAAACCGCATATTATAGAAATATAGTCCAATCCGCATAAAACAATTTTCTTTTACCTTATGTACTAGATATCAAATTGGATGGCTTGGTGTGAGTTACGAAGTCGCGAAATTTTAAAATTGATTGGAAGTTTGTAAAATTTACTTGCATAATGAAGCAAAAACAAAGCACGCGCGCACACATACAAAGAGAGAGAAACTAGAATTCACTTGCACAGTGAAGCTAAAATGATGCGAGGCGGCTTCCCGGGCCTCCGAGCATGCTGAACAGCAAGGTTGTCAAGAAGCAAGATATCACCCTTTTCCCATCTTATATTCACGTTGTTCTCATCCCTAATCTTCTTGTAGGTTTTGAAGGCTTCATTAGGAAATGGAGTCCCATCCGCAAAGCTCAAACCCATGTCGTCTTCAGGCTTGCCACTGTAGCCTACAATGGTGAGGAACCAAGCCCTGCGCCCCCCATGAAAAGTTCTTATTGGGTTTAAGGGCCCATATTCAAATTCAGCTCTCCCATCCTCTAGAAATTTAACTGAGTTGCAACCTAGTTTCATCAGAGCCCTATGTTGGACAATGAAGAGTCAATGAGGAAAGGTTTGAAATTTTGAATTGGCTTATATCCAAATAGCATCTCTAATTTACTCAAAAAAACCAATGTCTAAATAGAGAAGCAAAAAGAGGACCAGAAATAGTCTGAATTTTATAACAGCTTTGGTTTGGAGTTGTTTAAAATGATTCTCATTCTAAGAGCTCATAATTTTATAACAGCTTTGGTTTGGAGTTGTTTAAAATGATTCTCATTCTAAGAGCTCATGCAGGACCAGATAGGGACCAGGCGATTCTTGGCTGAAGAACCAAGGAATTGCGGGATCCAGGTCCTCCTTTTTTTCTTTCTTCATATTCAAATTTTCTATGACTACATAATCACAGGTATCACACTACATAAGTACTCCCTTGAGCAAAAGAGTTACTTAGGTGGGCTTTTCCAGCTTAAAAATCGGGATCTACTTTAGAATTACTAGGAGACTATTTAACAAAAGGACCTTGTTTCTATGCGGCCAAGCTCGCATATGTAGAAATACGGGCCTCTTAATAAGCCTATTTTTGAGATGGATTTTTAGACTTAATTTTTAAGGATATGTAATATCTAACATGGAGATCATGAATATGAAAAAGTAAATAAATTTAAAAACTAGTAGTAAAATTATAGTAAAAAAACATTTGGACCGTTAGATTTTTTTGTTTTTAGATGGAACACCTACTTGCATCCATCTTTAAGATGGATGCTTTACACTTTCTAGACCACATATGTAGAAATGCGATCCAACCACTTGAAACAATTTTCCTTAACAAAAATATTACAGAAAAAGATTTTGTGTTCCTAAATGCTTAGATTTGATCACTTAAAAAATCGGCAATCTATATTCAATCTTAGTGAAAATGACAAGAAGTCGGGCTTGGGCCGAGGCAAAAACAAAGGAAGAAAAATAAAAGAAAAAATAAAGAAAAAGAAGAGGGTTACTTGGCCTTGCATTGGCCCAGCCCGACCCTAAGGCCATAGTTCGTGGCATAAGCCACAAGTTTTGAGTGTAGGGACGCCCCACCCATTGCCAGCCCCAAATCTTAGAAAGGTATTTCTTTTTCAGGCAAGTATAATGTCACTCCGAATTGGGCTTGCCTCAGTCGGATAAGGGGAATTCCGGCTTGACACACTGGCGACTCAGAGCCCAAAGGGTTGGAGGGCAAGAGTACACTCACTAGATCTCAAGTCCAAGCTCCCTCTAGAACAACTCATTGAAATAGGGGTCAGCACTAAAGAAAATTGCTTTCTATGGACCATGCTGCCGACTTGCACAACATTGACCACGCCCCAAATCACCTTGTGTGAAACCTATGCATTACCTATGAATCTAGACTGTCCATATTTTAGATGATCAAACTTACAATTTGAATCCTAGTTATCAAGACAGGACCGGACTGGTAATCCGACTGGTCGAATCGTTGACCAGTGCCTTGGTCATTTTAATTAAAAGTAAAATCAGATTTAATTAAAGACAGATCTAAAATGGTATTTGACCAGTTTTTACATGTGTGACTATCCGATTTTGACTACCAGATTGGCTCAGATTCAGTCTGGACCATTAGACTTATACCATTTATGGCTAACATGATCTTTTCTCATATATATGTATGGATATAAAGTCTTACCGCTTTTCTGCTTCGGCCTTGTCCTCAGTTTGTAGTATCTGTGGCCACGTTCTCCTGAACATTTTCTTGGTAGTGTAGTCCTTTGGGTTCCACAATCGCATAATAGCTCCCACATTTCCCAATTTATCGACAAATTCTGGCATGGCCTCCTCCATCTTCTCGACAATAATGTGGCTGGGTAGTATTGAGGTCTCACCACCTTCTCGTGGGGGCTCCATACAAAAGAAGATGACCTTCGAAGGGAATTCTTTTCTCTATAAACAATAAACAAAGGAGAAAATGAGAAATAGATAAATTTTCATTTGAGCATTTATGCCCTAGCAAAAGAGAGAGAGACAGGGGGAAGAAGCTTCGTCTTTGCAATATGGCCATGGGTCTATGGCTTTTATTGACATATGAAGGACACTTTAGGAACCTTGGCAATTTTTGAACATTTTTCTTGAAGTATTTCTGTGGAAGTATATAATGATGCCCAAGATCCTTCATCTCCTATTTTATTCTTTAATTGATGCAGAGACGGGTCGGGCCACATACAACAATTTGGAAATTGGTATTTCTGTCTCCCGCATCCATGTCAAGATTAAAAGATCTATGTTATGAGTTTATAATTTCCCTGCCTTTTTTTCGCATTATATGCAATTTTTTCAAGTCGTAGATCCACGGTTTCCTATACCTTCTTCCATCACTAGAAGCTGGATAAATTTAGTGGACGCTCTTTCATTTTGGGCTTAAAACCAAGTGTTTTCGACTTTCATATGAAATAAGGGTCACAGATCTAACCATAAATGCCAACAAAATCCAAGCAATCTGGAGTTAAAAACAAAATATCTATCAATTAAGGGTTTATTAAAGCTTATTGATGAACTTTTTCTAGTCGCATCCATCAAAAAGCTTTTTGTTGTTGTAAAATGCAAGAAATGTGGGGTGTTATTTTACAGTGAGGCCGAATTTTGTTAGTAGTTGCAGCCCCATTTGGGTGCATATCTTGTATTCATTATTTCTTAAACACCACCATATTGGTGTCCCCGTTTGGTTAGAATTAAAACGCATTTCGGCTTGGTCCGCAGTTATTCATGATAGAAAATATTTTTGCAACCATGTTTGTTTACAAAACAATGCTAAAACCCCAGTAAGGCTACCAAATAAGAAATTTTTTTTTTTTTTTCGTATTCTCTATGATAGGGACTTTTTCGACATGACCATGACCGCTTCATACTACAATTTTTCATGATTGAAGATAGGCGTCATTATTTATTTGATATGACTATGACGATGTCCCAAACAAGTCCTTATAGATAAAAATGAAAATAGAAAAATGACTTGTACAATCCAAGAAAACAGGATAGTAAAAGAATTGGATTCTAAAACGCTTAACTCAGGAAAATCCCTGATATTAATTTTTTTTTTGTTTAACTTTTTAGTGTGGAATATTAGCTTCCACACCCCAAAAGACACAAATTTCGGTCTCTTAGACTTACTTTGTGTTAAGGCTGGCAATGGCCTGGCCATGCCCTGTTAGGGCCTAGGCAGGCCCTATGAGGACAAGGGCCAAGCCAGGGCTAACACTAGCCCAGTCCATAGCGACCCTACTTCACAACTTTAACGTTTGCTATTAGTTCTAGTTATATTGTCTAAGGTTAGCTCTAACCCTTTATGGAACTTTACTTTTCTTAGTTTCTTTAATAAACTAAACTACCACTCGAAAAATTTGGAAGACAGAGAAGTTCATCAGCCTTCATGACAATCCCAATGACTACAATGATCTTTTTAAAATGGGATTGTTTATAAAAAGATCATTTATCTTTTATACATGAAGATCACATGGACAAATTGGATGGCTTGGTGAGTACAATGATCTTTTTAAAATGAGATTATTTATAAAACGATCATTTATCTTTTATCTGTTGTACAGATCACAATTATTCTTGCTCATATCAAATTTGATGGCTTGAGATGAGTCATAAAGTGCGAGATGGGTGAAACATAAAGTCCGAGATTGTTAGATATTTTTTTTTTTAACTTTGTATCTGACACTCTTACAACCACCCATTTTTTTAAATTTAAGAGACAAAATGATTATAACTTCTTTGTTTAACAAAAAAAAAAAGGGGTCTATTTGTACACAAGCCCTTTTAAAATACCTAATCTGCCCTCAAGTAGTTTTATAACCAAGCTGCTTGTGTCATCCAATCACTGCTCTAAAGAAATGTCGTTAGGATTGATGTTTTGGAAGCAATAGTCATCCACTAGGAGTGTTGTCTACTTGACTCGAGAGAGAGAGAGAATTGACTCCTAAATTGGTTGAACCAACTTGCCTGAGTTGGCCTATATTTCGATACCCTAGCAAAGTTGGAGGGAGTTGCCCAAAAATTTGGCCGATTCTTTTGGGTAGGGCTAATAATGGGTTGAATCGGGTCAGTATCCACTGCGATTAATTCAGACCCAAAAACTATACATAGGATTTGGATATGCATTTAGATCTGAACCCAAATCGCGTCTAGAATATTTGAATCCACATCGGGATCTGAAAAGTATACATAGAATCTGAATCCACATCCGGACCCAATCGGATCCAACAAAAATATTTTATATATTATTTTATATCTATAAAATAATATATTACAAAACAAAACACTATATAACATGTGTATCCATGTAAAAAAAAATATAATATTTAATAACTGGGTTTGACACATGTAACCAGATCAAATCTTAATTACCATTTGGATCAAATTGACCCGGTCGGATCCAAATCATGGATCCATACCTAGATCCTAATAGGATCTGAAATTCGGATTTTGGATCTAAGCCAGGTAAATTATCAGCCCTAATTTTGAGTCTGGTGTACGGTCCCTATTTATAATTTTCTTGATAAAATTTCAATGAGTCACTTGAGTCTGGTGTCTGTATCGTAATTTCCCCAAGAAATGGTTGGGCTTGGGAAGCGGCGAGTTTGAGGAGATGTCAATATTTTTAAACACTAGGAGAGAGTAGCAGCAAGGACACTTTTGAGAGACAAGGAGGTCATCTAAGACGACGAGCACGGACGCGCACACAAACAACACAGAAAGAGAGATAGGGAGAGGGCTCTCACATTTGACATCTCATGGTGGAAATCGATGAGCACCTCGGGCGGAGCCTCGTTGGCGCTATAGACACGATCGATAACCTTGGATCGCGTGGCGTCGCCAATCCCATAATCCATCTCCTCCCACCCAAACGCCTCCACCACGTTTTGAAAGTCCTCGGCACGACGGACATCAAACCCTCGAAAGAGTATAGCACCGTGACGACTCAACTGTTCATCGAGCCACACACGATTTGCCCTTACAGCTTCTGCCAAACGCGTTTCTCCCCCTTCGCGCTCGGGAAATGAAGGAGAAAGCGTTGTGGCTCCATCTTCACATCTATGAAAGGGGAGGAGGGTCCTAGGGAAGACTGTCTCACCAAACCACTTCTCTTCTTTCAGTTTTCCTTCTACAAACTCCATTGTTGTCTGCTGAGGAACTTTAGCTAACCTGATTAAAGGGCCATTCTTTCATATGCATAGAGGAATAAGTATTTCCCTAACCAGGCTTTTATATATAAAGGAAAATATTTGGAAACATTTGGCCATTAATGTACTTGTGGCACATACTTTATTGTCCACTTGTGAATTGCATGCAACCAGTGACCCCACATTGCATCAGAACAAAATAAATAGGGGTGGGATTTCTATAGAGCCGAGCCTCTAAGCAATCAAGGTAAACCGCACCTTCAAATGGCGTTAAGTGGCTTAATATTAGGAATCTTTGTGATAGTCTTAAAATATATTTTAATTTTTAATTATAAAATTTAAAGCTTAAAAATAGTATAGATCAAGCATTTATGAAAATCTAAAAATTTTAAAAATTGACGTTTTAAAAATGCATTACAAGATGCACTATTTCTAAAACTTGAAATCCATCTTTTTCTCATGTGCATGCATCTTGATATCGAGATGATCAATTTGAAAAAATTTGAGCATCAAAACAATCTCTTCTAATGAAAAATTTGAGATAAAATCTAATTTGATTGTTTAGAACGTCGGCTCTACATAACATTTTCCAATAAATAGTGGCAGCTGTAGTCGTCATGACAATTAGCAACTATGACCCCACAATGTATAGGACAAAAATGCCGGTAAGTAAAATTATTGCATTTGCTATGTTCCCACGCGAATATAGTGTACATTTGCTCGACTCTAAGGGGTGATGAGTACAATTGTTGCATATGCTATGTTCCCACGTGAGTATAGTGTACATTGGCTCCCTCGAACGATTGAAAGCGCCCCCTTGGGATGATTTCTTTTATCCAAAAACCATTAGATTCCGCCTAATAATCATCCAGGGAATATTAAAATAAACAATTTAATTTTTGAGTTATTTAACACACTTTTTAGAAATGCGTCATTCCCATTCTTTAAATATCAAGCGGATGGCTTTGGGTGAATCATGAAGTCTGAAAAATTTTTGTTTTTGGAAATTTATGGCTATTCAATGACACTCTTACACCACCCATATTAAAATTCAAAGGACAAAAATAATTATGATTTTTATGCACAAAAAAAAATAAATAATCTTTTTATAGACAATCTCTTTTTTTTTTTTTATGGTAAATAGATTTCAACATTTTTTTTTATAAAGGCAGTAGCTAGGTAGAAGAAGTGCCATGAAGTTTGGGAAACTCTCTTGGAATTTGAGTCCCTTCACCCCCAATTGCCCTGTTTCAAACGCAATTGCAGGGTTGTTTAACGACCTTACACCAAAGAGTAAATAGTTTTGTTGTATGCTTTTCTCTAATTTAAAATAGTTCTTGAAAAAATCTTTCGCCCAAATGGGGAATCGCATTTGTTGCATCAGGTTGGACCAAAAAAATTGAGAATCGCTCGAGTTTCCCCTGTCTTAATAGTTATATTTGAGATTCCATGTCAAAAAGTTCTCCGAACTGAGACAAGCTCGCCAAATCACAGTGAAGGCCCAAGATTTTGACTCGATGATTCCTTAACTGAGAGTGAATTTGTATCATTGATTGATTTATAGAATGAAAAGAGAAATTAAACCAAGTACCTAGGATATTATATCGCAAGATCATGGATTAACTATTTTTTTGAATAGTTCATTTGGAAAGCAATCCAATATCTTTAGTATGAATGAAATTCAAGACATCATTGTGGAACCCTATCACCATGACCACCGATCTTTGAGTACATTTCTAGGGATGTATTAACTCACATGTGACAAATATCTCTACAGGAGTGTTTTGTTGGCATATTCAAAACCTAGGTCATCCATCCAAGTGGAAAGTATGATTATGGTCATCATATTTTTGTGTCGAGAAGATTTTTTTGCGTAGAATTGAAGCATTTTGTCTGTTGACTTCCTCTGACAAAACCCAATCTAAGATTAATTTTAAAATTCAAAATTTGGGATATAACTTCTTCAAGCTACCGATCACCCCCGCACCCC